GCGCCCTGTCCCGGGGCCGGGCAGGTCTGTTCTTAGTCCCACTGTCCATGGCCGTAAGGGGGCGGCTCTCGAAGGGCCCGGTGTGGCTCTGTGTGGCCAGCCGACGGCACTGGCCGCCGCAGTACCTGCTCGTGTGCGGTTACACAGAAAGCCCACAGGCAGACGCTGTCTGCAGACGGGACCGAGAGGCCAGTTCAGCCTACGCTGAGCCCTGTGTGTCTCTGAGCGCAGACGCAGACCCGTGACATTATCCGAGGCTAAGCTGACATTATGCCTGTACCCAGGACTACAAACGCACCTTCTCCTCCTTATAAATGATAAGTTCAGGAATGGGTTTAAGAAAGAATGTCAGGTTGGACTGGAGAATTCCGTGAGCTCAGGGACAGTGCCGATCGAAGGCCAATACACTGTCAACCATAGCATTGACTTACGGGGCAGCCGGATCTGTCAGCTGGCGGCAAGGTCAAATGAGATTGTTTACCAGCTTTCTGGTCAAGCTGTAGAAAATAGAAAACCAATATAGAAAAGCCCTGAAAAAGTAGTTTCTATGTACAAATCTCTAGTGACCAGACAGGCTGGCCTCTTGTGCAGAGCAGGGCTGTCGGTGAGACGGTCTCCCAGAGAAAGGAGAACGGGGGGGGGGCAAGGGGGAGCTCGGGGACCGAGCCCTCAGGAAGGACTGAACCAGCAGAGTCATCTGGCGGCTGGGAGGGTGCCCGCCCTGGGGAGAAAGCATGGTGCCTGCTGGGCCTTCCTTGACTTGTGTGTGCAGTACATGCTGGTGTATGTGCACATGTGTGCATGTGCATGCCTGTGTATGTGTGCATGTGTTTGCACACACACACTTGCGCACACATGTGTGGTATCCACATGTCTGCATGCATGAGTGTGCACGTGCTTGTGTGCGTAGGTGTGCACATGTATGTGCACGGTTGCTGCACACACGTGTGTGCATGTGTGTTTATGTTTGTGTGTTTCTTTTGTATGTGTACGCACATGTGTGCATGTTTCTGTGTGTGTGTGTTTGTGTGCATGTGTGTGCTCCCCACCAAAGGCCACGGGCCCTCTCCAGGCTAGCTTAGAGGGCTGCATGGGAAACGGAGCCCCAGAGGAGCACGGCTCTGCCTGGCCACCCACCCCAGGGGGACGACGCCCATGGTCAGGGTCCATGCTCACCCGAGACGGAAGGGATCCCAGACGACCTGGCACTGTCGCTGCCCACCTGGACCTCTCCAGGCCCAGCGCTGACGTGTGCCATTAGTGTGTGTTATTTGCAGCACTACAGGGCCCTGTGTGACCAGGGAGGTGGCAAGGGCTGATATTCTAAATGTCTAGGTGAAGCACAGCCGGCTCAGGGAGGGTCTGACACGTGAGTACCCAGGGTATCACTGAATCAGGAACAGGGTTTGGCACCGTCCACATTCCTGCAGGTCCGTGGGTCCACTGAGAAATCAGGCTGCCCTGCCTCACTTGCCTCAGGTCTTCTGCACTAACAGGAACACGAATAGCCTTCCCGGCCTGCCTCTGCCAGGTGGAAGAGCCGGAGACTGCCCTGCCCATGGCAGCGCTCACACCACAGCCGCGGCCCTGCTCGAGAGTCGGGCAAAACTCAGGACCAAGAGCAGAGATGGGCGCAGCGGTCCCCGAGGCTCCGCAGCACTGGAGAGGGACTGGGAGGCCCACGCTCCACCGGCAATGCGGTGCCCACAGTAGGAGTCTGGAAATGAACCCCACCGGCCATCCTCGTGTGGCTCTCTAGAGGCCTGGCTTCACTGGGAATGGGTGTGCCTGGCTGTGCTGGAGCCACGGAAGGGCGGGGCTCCGACTGCGGCCACGACTGCCAAAGTCTTGCACTACCTTCTGTCAGGGTCCAGTCTGTCTGTCTGGCAGAGTCTGCCAAAGGCTCCTCAGTCCCGTGCTGGCCCGGCAGCTAGGACTGTCAGGGGAAGCCATGTGTGGGGTACTAGGAGAGCTGGGCCACAGCAGGACTGAGGCCAGGGCTCAGCGGGGTCCCGGGACACCGAGCCATCCCCGAGCAGCCACCGCCTCCCCGACAGCACACCCGAGGAAGCAGGGCGTTGGTACAATGCAGCCGCAGACCGTGAGCACGGCCGCCTCGCCTCCCCTCGCTGTGACGGATGGAACAGCAGCGCTCACACGGAAGGGGGGCCATCTCCAAGCTGACTGTGTGCTCTGTGGGCCCCAGGCTTAACGTGCCGACGGTCACATTTTCTAGGAGAAAGTCTTCTAAGAAGCCTGCAAAGATCTTAACACAGACTCGACGTCTGGACGGGAGGCCAACCACTTATCCGACCTTCGTCCTTCCTGTGGGAGAAAACGAGGGCTGCACGGGGAGCGGCTCGGGCAGGTCACACAGCTACAGACGGCAGGGTCGCAGTCAGGGCGTCCTCCACCAAACCTCACCGCTCCCACCACCATGTCCGCGCCTGCATCCGCTCCGCTGAGCTGGGTCAGACACTGCCGGGGCCCCCCATGCCCTCCCCACCCTGCCTACGCCGTGTGGGTCGCCACCAGGGCTGTCCTGGGCGGCAGTAAGGGGAGAGAGGGGACCGCAGGGCAGCCAGGAGTCTGGGTTTCCTCAGGAAAAGCCACGGCCATTCCCAGCAGCTTGGACTCCCAGCCCTGCTCAGTCCCCTTCTCTAGCCGGAGACCTTGGCACCCTCTTGGAGCCTGTAAACAGCAGTGGGGACCCACCGTCCTGTCTCCAGGCGTGGACGGTTCAGCTGGAGAATGGCACAGCAGCGGCACCCGAGGGTGCAGCTGTTCCCTGGCTGTCCCAGCGGCAGGAGCAAGGGAGGAGGTGAATGCCCCGGTGCTACTCTCTAAAATGCCCCGGTTCCCAAAAGGAGAAGGAGCCCGGTCTGACTGGCCTCTTGCAAGCGCATGCAGCTCAGGGGTGCACCAGAGGGCCTGCCATAGCTGTGAAGGCGCACGGCTCTCTAGGGGCAGGGCCTCAGATTGCCCTGCAGCCCACTCCGTCTACGGCAGTCCTAGGGAAGGAAGCCCTCAGGGGCTTGGGGACGTGCATCAGCCTTGATTTCCAGGCTGGTCCTGAACTCGAAATGACTTATCTTTAATATGACGTACTGAAGTCCCAGGTAAAGGCCATTCCCCAAGAGTGCTCTGTGGCCCATGCATGGAGCCTCTGGGCTCGCTGGTGCCCCACAGGGTCCACTGAGCACGTGCCTCTGTCCCCTGCACAGGCCAGCGGGACAGCCAGGAAAGAGCTGAAGGGACGCACCAGGGAGCTCTTAGGCAGAGACTCGAGGAGACAACCTAGACCGTGCCCAAGCACATGGGAGCCACACAGCCTCCCAGGCAAAGGAGGACCCAGGAGCTGGCCCTTCTCCTCACCTGCAAAGCTCCAAGGACTGCCTGAGCCACCCTGCAGCTAACCCCAGGAACTGTGTCTGTGGCCCGCAAGGCCGCTGCAGGGGCTGCTTCCACAGTGACAGGCGAGCGAGTCTCACTACCGCCAACTGTGAGCCCCGGGAAAGTGACGACTATGTCGTTAGAGAAAAGGGAGGGCAAGACACCTGCCCAGCCGTGACCGGGGCTCAGGAGCAGGGGCAGTGGGCGCTCAGCAGTGACCTGCCCAGCCGTGACTGGGGTTTTGGGGCAGGGGCAGTGAGGACTATGTCTCCTGTGGGTTCTCAGGCATCTGGTTGCTGGAGACGTCACAGGAGTGACAGCCATGGGCACGTGATAACCACACACACCCCCTCCTCAGAGAACCCGGACTCCCCCACTGCCATGGCTGTCGGCACCTCTCTCACAGCCCAGGGCCGGGCCCAACTGCAGCCCCAGGTCCTGTGTTCTCCTGAGTCAGGGGTGTGTCCATGACCAGTCGCTAGATCCCCGCCGATCCCACACTCAGCAGCCAACAGTGACAGCAGGGACATTCGACAGTCAGCCGAAGGAGCCCCAGGACCGCTGGCCGCCCCGAGGGCCCCGCACCATCCTTCCTGTGCATCCTTTGGGTGTGCAGCTTGCTGAGTTTGCCATGAGGCCGCGTGCCTGTCCCTGTCCCACTGGTGGCCAGGGCTGCACGACCCAGTCTCGCCAATGTCACTGTCCTGGGGTTTCACAGTCGGCCTTTACTGTGTTCCGCGGAGGAGCCCGGGAGGGGGACAGGCTGTCCCCAGCTGTGTCCTGTAGCTGGATTTTGTGCTTTGATATAACAGAACGTTTTCTACATGGCAGATAAGTGCTGGCATTTGCTTGTCTTCTTGATTAGAGGCACGGTCAACACGCGTGGCTGATCAGGACTTCTGGGGGTGAGAAGGGGTCACATAATCTGGGGACTAAAAACATCTCATTGGGTTGGACCCAAAGAAGGCTCTTACGGTGTAGTAGACAATGGGGCACGAGGGTCCTCGCCTCCGATCTCACCGGGCAGACACTCCGGAGCTGAGCACGTGAGCTGGTGAGAGCCTGCATGAACGGGGTCCCTGAGTGTCAGGACACGCATCCTGCGAGCGATGCTTCCTTGTCCACAACTGTGCTGGGAGGGGTCGTGGACACACCGTGGTCTCGTCTGTGGCTCACAGAGGCTGGGGAGGGTGGGGAGGGAGGCCACCATTAAGAGCTGGCCTCCGCCGGGCCAGCCGACCTGCTCCCTGAAGCGGCCACAGCGCGGAGAAGGACAGTGGCGTCCCCTACGTGGGCGTGGGTACGCGGTGAACACAGGCTGCTCTGCCGGACGGTTACAGGGGCGGTTCCCGAGGCTGCTCCGAGTCCCTCGTGCACAACCGGGCAAGACATGGACATTAAGGAATGACCCGCTGCATGCTGCTCCACACCCAGCATCCCTGGAGAGTACCCTACGGCTTCAGCTGTGTCTCCGGAAGGGGCGTCTGCATTTCTGCACCTCGGTGGGAAAGGGAAGCTGGCGAGACTGATCTTGAGTGGAACGGGTTCCTCTGGCAGTGCCCATTCAACACCGACACGCGGGAGAATGTCAGACAGTTACTAAGTGTTACATGGCAGGACGCAGGCTGCGGGCCGCTGGGCTCGCAGTGGCGCCTGGAAGCTCAGCTGACAGGTTACTAGTGAGCACAGAAGCGGCACTGTTTTCCTTTTAAAAGAATGCTTGTCTATGTCATCTTTACCGTAGGGTGTGCAGGGGGTTGTTCCAGAACTTGCTGTGAAGCGTCTTATTTTTCACGTTTCCAAGGCTCCTCCTCACTGCAGTCAGCAGGCTTCCCATTGGCTGCCAGATTTACCTGAAAATAATTATCAACAACACCTGGCTGCTGGCCCGGCGGCAGGAACCGTGGGCTACGGGGAGCACCGGGTCCGGGGCTCGACTACACACGCCATGTCGCTGACATGGAGCTCTTTCCAGATCGATTCAGAATTTGTCTTGGTGTTCTGTAGAGATTTGTGAATTGGAATACAAAGCTTTGGGGGACTGGAGGGACCGCAGACGCTTTGCAGTGTGGGCCAGCCCTACTACGCTCCAGCACGGTGACCCACAGCATGTGTCTGCCCATAGACCACGCAGCGACCCTGGCCATAAACCACACCCCCGGGGGCAGCCCGGAGCGGGGCTGCGGCTACTCGTGCAGGTGGGAGGTTCAGCCGCAATTAGGCCAGGAGCTGTCAGACATGTCCATTTTAAAATCAGAAACCTAGATGATTTGGCTCAGCCAAATAAGGCCATGCGGGCTTCAAACGTTAATGAGGAAAGGAGGAGGGAGGGAGCGAGTGAAAAGCCTGAGGTTGTGGCAAGGCAGACGCGGATCTCCGCGAGCACCCGTAAGGGTCAGATGGTCAGGGAGCCGACACCACGCCGCCCGGCTCGCAGTGGACTGAGCCCTCGTAAGGAAGGGAACGCTCTCCCTCCACCGCTCAGTGGGCATCCTAGCTTACCTTCTGTCTGTCCTCATGTCACGTGCAACTCACACCCACCACCGATACTCCACGTGGTGGAGGGACTGGATTATGGAAGCGTTAGGGTGTGGAGACATGACGGATGCAGCAGTGTGTGAGAGAAAGCGACCTCACTGGACGAAGTGACGCACATGCACTCGAGCGCAGCACATGCAATGGACAGACAGCCATGCACCGTCCGAACCAAGCAGCCGGAGACAGCTACTCATTCCTGCGAGCCACGTTAGCCCTGAGCTGTGAAAGACCATGCAGTTAGCAACGACTGGCCCCATGCAGTTACTCCGACTGAAATGTAAGAGCACTGGCATGAAGTGAATGGTTAGTACCAGGCAGCTTTGGAAACAGACAGACTGACAGTGCTTGAAGTGGTTAACGTTTGGACCAGAGCTGCAGCAATTTGTGTCCCCCTCAGTGAACGGTCAGGAAAGGCTGCCAGGGCCAGCCGTCTGGGAGAGCTGCGTGTCCTCCAGCACCTGGAGTGTGCCAGCTCTGCTCTCCCCACATGCCAGAGCGAGGGCAGCGCCATGCTGGCGGCCTGGGACAGGCAGCGCTTTGGTTTGTGTCAACACCGGCCACGTCTCAAAGTTGCGGGGCTGGAGCGGGTCGCCGGCTGAAGGCGGAGACGGGGGAGGCAGGACCCCACTCAGCTCTCTCGGCGCCATCCACTGGTAAGGGAGCCCCTGGCAGGAAGCCCGACATTTTCTCTCTCGGTTCGAAAACGTGAGACAGAGTTGGCCAGAGAAGTCCAGCTCTGAGTGGCCAGGACCAGACAGTCCCCGGACACTCAGGGAAGGGCCGTGAGCCCCCCGTTCCCTCCACGTCCCACACAGCTAGCTTACCAGGAGTGGGTGTGGAGAGACCGACCTGCCTCACCCCGAGACGCCGAGGACCCCCGTGTGGGTCCTGGGGCACGGTGGTGACAATGGCAGTGTACTCTCCGAGGGCTTACTCCCTAGTAATACGGTCCTTCGAAGTCAGAGGGGCTGCAGCGCCTTTCCCACGATGCCCTTCAACTAGAGACCTCGGAGGCCGGACCCCGCAGGTGCCTGGCCCGACCCTGTCCTTCCAGGATGCGTCCTAGGGAGCCGCTGAGAACTCCGGAGGGCCGCACCACGGGGAGCTGACCGAGGGCTCTTTCCACGTAAAGTGTGGAGCAAAGGCCGGATACGGTCATCCTGCCCCCCGCTGCTTTCCCTTACATGGTAACAGCTGGAGTTCACAGCCTTGGTCCACTGGAACATTCCGGACCCTTTTGCTATCTGCCAGAGCCTAATTCAGGGCTCGTAGACACAGGAACTCCGAGAACGCCGTGATGGGGAGGCACCCGGCTCTGTCCAGCAGAGCGGAGCGCAGCGCTGCCCGGGCTGTCCTCTGTTGACCAGCCGTCTTGGCGAGAAGCAACCTTCAGGTGCGCAGGGAGCGGGAAGCACCGACTTCCCAGACAGCTGGATGTGCCGCGGGTGCTGCAGAGGTCTGCAAGTGAGTTCCAAGCCAGTGCCTGGGTTTATGCGGCCCTCCTGAGGGAGGCTTTCCTGCCTGATCTGCGTCAGAGGCCCTGCGCGCCAGGCGCGGACAGACCTGGCGAGACGGGGACGGCTGGCCCCCAAGTTCTGGACCTTCCCAGCGCAGGACAGAGGTCGGCCTCCGTGGGCCCTGTGTGCCAGCAGAGGCACAGAATGTGTGTGGGAGAAATTCAAGGTCACGTGTGATCTCACACCCAGCCGGAGAGCCGTCCTGCACCAGGCCGTCCTCGGGGCTGTGCGGATCATTCTAGCAAACCACCCCAGACTGACCGCTCGCCTGCCAGGGTTTCCCACGTCTGCTTGCTCTAGTTGTGACAGACTCTGCATCAGGTTAGTTACGACACGTGCCAGACAGGCCCCCGCACTCGAGCCCAGCACCCTGGCTGGGAGGAGCACCGGCACCCGCTCTGCAGGATGGACGGCCACCGTCGTGGGGCCTGTTCTGAAAGACCTCTCTGGATAACCGTTCTGAAGGATGACCGTTTTTTAATTAAAATTGCTTCTCCAGGTTTGGAGCAAGTGACTGCTGAGCCAGGACCCACTCTCCCCACAACAGTGAGGGAGGGAGGGATGCCTGTGGGGTCACCAGCCGAGGCGGCAGCCCAGGGACGGCCAGGCCAGGTGATCAGACAGGGCTGCCTGTTCCTGCTGGTGTCTCGTTTGGGTGACGGAAGGCCTGGACCCAGCAGAGCTTTATCAACCACAAATTCTTGAGCAAAACATTTAAATAGCGATGAAACAGCAGAGTGGGTGGACGGGGGTGGGAATGGCAGTCGTACATCGCATGCAGCAGAGAACCGGCTCCCGCCATGTTAGACGTGCAGTTAGACGGCCTGGGCCTCACGGAAGCTGGGGTCACATGACGGTTAGCACAGCGAGCGTGGCCGTGCTCCGCGGCTCTGGCCTCGGCCGGGCGTGCGCCGCTATATACAGGTCTCGATATCCAGGAATGGAAACAGTACCTTACACTCGTCCCTCACGACGGCATTGTGTGCGGTGTAGACGCACTGGCTCAGGCTGCCCTCCCTGTGGTTCTTGGCATCGTCGGGCACGGACTGCGTCTTGGTCATCTCGATGTCTTCGTACGCTTGGTGCTGAGAGTCGATGGAGTCCAGCTCCGACTTGGAGAGGTGGTAGACGATCCCGGCCCCGAAGGAGTCGCCCACCACGTTGACTGACGTCCTCATCCTGTCGCTGGGGAGGACAGAAAGTGCTCTGTGAGGAGGGCCACAGTCTGGGCCCAGAGAGACCGGGGCTGCGTCCAGGCTTCCCCTTCCCCCACCTGACCGAGGCGCGTCGCACCCCGCGGGCCGACTTCCCGCGGGCCGACTTCCCGCGTGTCAGGGGCAGTGACAGTCCTCACTCCAGGGTTCCTGAGGCCGAGTGCAGGGACATGTGTGGAGTGCTTGGCAAAACAGTGCCAGCGGGAACCCTGCCCGACAACGGCAAAGGGCAGGCGGGTGGAGGAGGGTCGGAGAAGAGCGTACCCAGACCTCAGGCTCCAGGCCCAGCTCTGGCCTACTGCACTGCCCCGAGGTCCTGACCCAGACTGTCCGTCAAAGGTCCGACCAGTCTGTGCCGAGGTGTCGGTCCTACGACAGAGACTCACTGCCCGTGATCGCTGGGGACCAGAGTCTGCCTCCAGGGGGGGAGGGGGCGCTGCCTTAGCCACACAGCTCGGTGCCTGCACTCCCGAGACCCGGGACAAAGACACCCAGGAATGTAGCCCTGACTCTGTGCTGTGACTACGCGTCCTGGAGAACCAAACGCCTGCCCGTGCTCTCGCTAGCAACCTAAAAAGGGACGCTTCCAGGGTGTTTCTGGAACCAAGCAGAAGCCAGATCCCCCCTCAGAGCTGTTGCGCACGTTCCGGCGTGTGGAGACGTGCCTCCGGTCGTCGCTCAGAGGGTTCGCACCAGGGCACCCCTGAGAGCGGGCTGTGTCCCTATCCTGGTCAAGTCACACCAGCCCGAAGAGTCCTTCGGCCATTAGCATGGATTTTTCCATTTATCCGTTTATGAGATATTTGAAGTACTTGGGTGAAGATCATATATGTACACGTGCACACGCACACACATGTACACACATGCATAGACACAAGCACAGTGAACATATGCACATACACATGCACGCACACGTGCACAGGCACACACACGTGCACACATGCATGCGCATCCCCCCTCATAAACAGTAAAGATAAACAGGAGGGGAATTTGGACAAAGCCATGCCGGAGGCGTCCTTAGCTGGGGCACCGCGGCCATCGGGGCACTGTGAGAAGCTGCAGGCAAAGTGGAAACCTGATTCGTGCTTGGAACAGAGGCCTAGAACCTTCCCAGTGGTCACGACGAATCTATGTCTCAGAGAGTAACGACAACAGAACTGTGCTCGGGGGGGTTCTGGGCTGGCCCTCCGAGGCTGGTGCTGGCACTCCAACCAGGAAGCCACACCCATCGGGGGCAAGAGAAACCAGAGCTGGCCCTGACCTCGTGGGGTCTCATCTCAGAAGGCTCTGGCCCTTTCTCCCTCGGAGAATCTGCCTCGGCATGAGGGCAGTCTGAGCAGGAACAGGCACCCGGCTGAGGGCACACACAGCAGGCACCGAGGCAGGCTGCCGGGAAGCTCTGGCTCCAGCTGAGGGCACACGGGACAGTCCTCGGGGGAGGCACTGGCCGGCCTGGGTGTGGCGATCAAGGCCACAGGGTCCTACGTGGCTCACTGTGTGGTCCAAGCCCCAGACCCAGCAGCCTAAGACAGGCGGGGGCAGGCGTGCATGTGCACCCGTAATCCTGACAGCGAGGCTGAGTGATGTGCTCCGACCATAGGGCAGGCCCTGGGGGTGTCCTGCGGCCTTCTGAGCACGCCAGCGCACACGTGCTGCCAGGCTGCAGCACCAGGGCCGCATGAGGACCTGCTTGGGAGCCCGTCTCTGCAGCTCTCTCCCTCTCTCTCTCTCTCTCTCTCAGGGGAAGTGAATGGATAAACTTGTTGGTTTTATTTTCTGCACTCCCTGAGATCGGCAGTGACTCCTTCAGGAACTGAGCCCGAGGTGTGAGGCGGTAGATGCTGTTCTCCTGCTTTCTCCTCCCTGGGCATTCTCGCTGCCTCTCCCCGAGCTCGCGCCTCTTTGGGATGTATTTGGATGGTCCAGGCATCCGGACATAGCCTGCCTGCTCCCTGCCCTGCAGCCCCACTGCCCGAGTCGGGGGCGCTGGGGCAGGGCTGGGAAGGGCTGGATGGAGCGGGAACGGGCGAGGTACAGAGCAGGGGCCAGCCTGCAAGTGAAAGCTGAAGACGGGGCATCTGTCCTGGGGTCTCCAGAGGGCGGCGAGCTGAGCATTAGGCTCCTTTCCCGCCAGATGCGGCGTGGAGGTGAGTCAGGCGTGTGTACACGTGCTTGTCCTGAGCAAGGGGAGAGGGGCGGGGCTGGCCCGGGGCCCCAACAGTGCCCCCACGTGGGTCTGAATCTCAGCCCAACCTGCTAGGGCAGGCCACGTCCCCGGGCCCCAGCCCCAGTGACGATAGGACTGGTTGGCTTCTTGCTGCTGCTCTCGACAAGCCGCCGTGTGTGCCGTGTCTGAGTGATGGCTAACGTTATCATCACACCCGGTGTCCCTCCAACCTCCTCCCCGGATGAGTGTGTGAACTGTCGGCTGCTCGGGACAGAGCGGCTCGTGTGTGCAGCACGACCCCCACGTCTATGACCGGAGGAGGCCCCTGGACTGAGACGTCAGCATTGCCTGGGAACACGCTAGAAACGCCAGTGAGGGGCACCCCGGGCCTCCTGGGTCTCCAGCGCATGCTGGTTTAAGAACCCACACGCTGTCCGTCCTAGGAGGGGTGCCGGTGGGAGGAGCCTCAGGGTGCCCTCCTGCCAGGTGGAGACTCTTTAGGGTTGCCTCAAAAGTGCCGCCTCCATCCCGCCCTCCAGCCAGCCAGCGCAAGCCCAGGACAGACCGCCCAGCATGTGGCGAGAGGCCCTCAGCGCTCGGTTTCGCTGCCGCAGGTCTGCCTATCTCAACTGTGGCCGGCCCGGTTGCTGTCACCCCCTCCCTGGTAGGGCTCCCCGTCGTCACCCCACCACTTCCTTGGGAGAGAGTGGTTTCAGCAGGGTTTCTTGAAACGTCTGTAAAGGGTTCCCAGTACACAAGGCTTCCTAATCTAAGAGAAGGTTCTGGTTCTAACCAGCTCTGCCTGCCCACTTGCCAGGGTTCACCGTGACATTTACCGAGCAGCTAAGCCTGCCCACTGACAAGCGTCCAGGGCTTAGCGGGCAGCGACGAGCTGGCTGGGCTCCAGCAGCTGGCGCACCCTGACTCTAAATGTCACTGCGGGCTTTGTCTGGCTTAACATGGAGAAGGGCTGCAGTTACGAAACCTGGCAAGCCTTGCCAGAGAGGAAGAACAATCCCCCT